ATCTTACAATAATCACTTGGTAAAAAAGTATTTCTTTTAGAGTTGTACTGTTTCCTATATAAAACAAGGAAAAAAAAAATAACATAGTATAGCCTGTATGAATCTTTACAATTGGTCTATACAAGGACAGCACACTCACAATTTTTAGAGCCTATTATAAGTTGGCTCTGGACTTATAAGGCACATCAACTGCTCTTAGGTATTCAGAGTATTCTTCTCCAGCTTGTATCACAGGAACAACAGGGAATCCCAGGTCCAAAGTAAAAGATAAGCTATTTATTTTGTACAGATAGTACATAAAGATTAAAAGAAAATATAGTTTTTAAAGCACAACTCGTTTCAACCTACAATTGGTCTTCCTCAGGTGCAAGCATATTAAAAGTGCATACAATTTATTTTATATACCATATACAAATTACTTAATATTGAACACACATACATAATTAAATTGAGATACTCCTATTTCCAAATATGGACTTATGCCAACCGCAACATGGTTGCATACTGTTGTGCCCAGGACCCTCCACAATATGTCGCCCGGCATCTCTTCCTCTTCCCGTTTCCCCTGCTGTTTGCCAAAATGTCATTTCTTGTGATGCACTTCCCCCAATGTTCTCCGTACCGAGCATGTCACATGAATAGTCTTTCGGCTAGGGGAAAACTTTCATGTTCATCCTCTTACTGGTCTTGAAAGTACTATGTGCTGTATCTGATGGGGAAAACGGTAGTGCTTAAGATACCATTTTGCAAATGGGCTAGTCTCTCATTCATATTGTCATACCATGGAAGTTAAGAGCAAGAGAATATAAATGAAAGTAGAAGAAGAGCATTTGTATATATAATCAAAACAGCAATTATAACAATATAATTAAGAGGACCAAAAGCAAAAAAAATTACTTATTCCCTATTTCAAAAAAAAAAAAAACATATATAAAAGGATTTTTAAAAATAGTAATGAATAATAAATCTTGCATTTTTGGAGGGGGTAGAATTTATAAAATTGTATTGATTTCAAATTGTATTGATTTCAAAGACCCCTAGGGACCAAGGTACGCATTTCAAAAATCCACTTAGCTTCATGGCTACTCCAATTTCTTGGCTAGGTCTCCTCCTCTCCAATGTGTATCAACCTTTTCAATTGCATAAAATTCTAGTTTGTTTTTGTTACATGCATGATATTCTAAAAGTGTTTGGACACACTTAGGTTGAGTAACCCATTTTTTAAGTTTCTTACATGTTCACCAATCCTAACCTTAATTGCTCTAGAGGATATAGATATATCTCCGCATGTGCACTTTAAAAAGATAGATTAAATTTTTCGAGTGACACGTATTTAATTAAGATCATATTTCTTATTTGTCACAAAATAGTTAAAATTTGAAACCTTTCTATTAAATACATTTGTCTTTTTACATGCATTGCAGAGTCCACAATGAAAAGAAATAAAAATTTGTGACCAATTACTTAAATGATTATTACTATTATTTAGGGCTTTGTTATTAATAACACTTTTGGTTAATATTTGCTTAAAATTCTTGGCTCCTCTAAAAATAAAATGTTGGTTTCGAACCCACATAGTCCTCTATATCATCCTCCTGTTCGGGTCCGGACGAACTTCGAAAAAAGTCCGGATTTGGGAATCGAACTTGACCCCAAACCCCATTGAAGTCAATGGGGACCTGAACTTTTGGGCACAAAAATGGATCTAAAAAAGTCCTGGAAAGGGCTAGAAGGCTGCAAAAGGAAGTAAAATGTAACTATGTAACTATGTAAAATGGGGATAAGAGTAGTACAAGTGCCCTGCAAACAAATGTGGATAGGGAAATCAATTAAAATAACAAAAATTAAAAATACAGCTGAGCCATAAAATAGCACTAGATTGAATCTTTGATTTAAGCTTTGGAAGAACATAAATCAAAATCAAAAGCATGTCTGTCAGGAGGATCACCAGAATTATCCATTTGAGAGAGGGTTGGAGTGCAGGGTATTCTCTTTCATTGTTCAAACTGAGCTCAACTCCTGATGCATAGAGAAAAGGCTGTCACAAGACTCTGCTATTATGTACAGTTTATACTAAGTAACCCATAGGTTGAGGAGGCGGTGTAGGTGGAAGCGGTGGTGGAGGAGTTAGCCAACACTGTTAGTTTTTTTTAATTGTGGTAGCCCCCCAAAATATTGGGACATATCAAAAAAGAAACATTTGCGGCCTGCGGTGCATTTCTTGCAATAACACCATCAGGTCTTTAAAACTGTACGTCTCCACCAGACGGAATGACAGCATTTCAAAGGCCACAAATTTTGAAATGCGGGCATTCAGGGCTAGGGAGGGTACTTCCTCTCTCACCAGTGTTTGGGAGATGGACGGCTGAACGCTTCCATGGGACAGTGTGGAGATGCTGGACAATTGTGTACCTGGCCTATGCTGGTGCAGGAACCCCCCCTCCGAGCCACTTGTGAATGACTGGCCTGATAACCATGGAAATTACTCTTCCTCCTCTCTCTCCTGTGCCACATCCATCACCCGAAGCTTTTTTTTTTTTTTTTTTTTAAGGAGACAGAAGCGGGATAGTAAGGCTGAGAACTGCGTCATCAGCACTGGCCATGTTGGTGGAGTACTCGAAACAGCGCAACATGGCACACCACTCCACCACTCATTGGTGGTGAAGTGGTGCTGTTCCGCAGAGTGACTGACCCATGTGTGCTGCAGCTGAAACTCCACTATCGCCTGCTGCTGCTCGCACAGTCTCTCCAGCATGTACAAGGTGGAGTTCCACCTTGTGGGCACGTTGCATATGAGGCGGTGACCGGGAAGGCCGAAGTTACGCTGCAGCGCAGAAAGGTGAGCAGCAGCGTGAGAACGCCGAAAGCGCGCACAGACGGCACGCACTTTCAGCAGCAGCTCTGATGTATATGGGTAGTGTTTCAGAAATTTCTGCACCACTATATTCAGCACATGTGCCAGGCAAGGGATGTGCGTCAAACCGGCTAGGCTCAGAGCTGCTACGAGATTTCGCCCATTATCGCACACCACCAGGCCGGGCTTGAGGCTCAGTTGCAACAACCACTCATCGGTCTGTTCCATGCCCGTCCACAGCTCCTGCATGCTGTGGGGTTTTTCCCCCAAACACATGAGGGAAGTGGGTCTGACCTATTCTAATCAAAGGGGATAACAATCGGTTACCCAGGTCCCGCTTCAATTGGTGGCAAGCGACAGGATCCCATGTCCCTGCAAACAGACCCATGGACTACAGTGCTCTAAAGCAGCCTACACTGTAGGACTTGAGTGGAGTCAGAGGAATAACGCATGGTGGGCATAACAAGGCCGAATTGACTGCTGCGCTCACGGAGGACGACCAGGCACGCAGTGAGGCAACGAACCCCAGCCAGGGGCTGGAGATGAGGAGGAAGTGCGGAAGGAGGTGTAACGGCGCCTGGAATATTACCGAGAGCCACCCTCAGAGGAGATTGTCATCAGGACCTTTTTGGAGGTGCAAGCCTATGTCTTTGCCAATAGACAGAGGGCGACCTCCATGAACCCAGATGAAGGAAAAAGGGAGCCGGGAAGCACAACCACCCTGGCCCACAAGCTACCATTCAAAGAGTTCAAGGAAGCAGAAGAAGGCATCGATGACTTTTTACAAGACTTTAAGTGGCAGTGCCTACTCCAAGACATGGACCCCAGCGACTGGGTCACCATCGTGGCCAGCAAACTAGTGGGGAAGGCAGAGGATATTTACCGGGCTGTACCAGAAGAGCAGATTAGAGTCTATCCCTTTATTACACAAATCCTCCTGGACCGGTATGCGGTCACCACCAAGCAATACCGTCGAAAGTTTGGAGAGACCCGGAAAGGGGAGAAGGACTCCCATGCGGAGTGGGCATGCCGCATCACAAGGGCCACCCAGAACTGGCTCAACTCCCATCAAGCCAAGTTCCCGGAGGAGATCACCCAGCTCGTCATGCTAGAGCACTTTTTCAATGGGCTCCCCAACGACACGGCTGGTGAGAGACCGCCAGCCCCAGACCCAAGAAGTATTGGTAAGAGCTGCTGAAGCTAGCCCTTGGCAGGGAATTTGGGCAGGAACTGGACAGCGTCTCGGCTTACCCACAGCTTCTTCTGGCCAGGCATCTCAGGATCTGAGGCAGTACTGCCAGATGTATGCCAGAGAGTGGCGAAGAGAAGGGACCGTCACAGGGCACCCCCTGCATCCCCTACCTATTAGTGAAGATCCTAGTAGGTAAGGTACGCTGCCAACATTATAGTTGCGCAGGCCTTTTAGTGACTCTAGAGAACCTCGGGCCAATCGTACGTCCCCGTGATGGTGACTTTGCATTCGGATGTCTGCCCTATCAACTTTTGATGCCACTTTCTGCGCCAAACATGGTGACCACGGGTAATGGGGAATCAAGGTTCGATTCCAGAGAGGGAGCCTGAGAAATGGCTACCACATCCAAGGAAGGCAGCAGGCGTGCAATTTACCCACTCCCGAGGTAAGTGACGACAAATAACAATACAGGAGTCTTTAGAGGCCCTGTAATTGCAATGAGTCCACTTGAAATCCTTTAACTATGATCAATTGGAGGGCAAGTCTGGTGCAGAGCGACTGACCTGTGCGTGCTGCAGCAGAAGCACCACTATCACCTGGGTGTCTGGGTCCCGGACGGCTCGTTAAATCTGTTATGGTTCCTTTTAGCGCTTCAACTGTTACTTGGATAACTGTGGGAATTCTAAAGATAATACATGCCAACAAGCGCTAGGGGACGGCCGCTCCGCTTTTGCACCCTGCTCCCTCTTATGCTGTGCTGGTGCCTCTGTGCGACCAGCGCCTCTGCCTCCAAACTGCACACGTCACTCGCATGACCTTGATTCCATGTGGGGTCTAGGACCTCATCATCCTCCACATCATCTTCCACACACTCCTCAACCCTGCCCTCCTTGCCGGTCTGCACACTGCAGAAAGCCACAGCAGTTGGCACCTGTGTTTTTCCAGCATGTAAAGTCTGCAAATGACATATGGGAACAGTTTTAGAATTGTATCCAGGCAACAGTTTTCCTTATAAACTGACCTCTCAGTTTGACTTGTGAGGGTATTGCCCTTGAATTACAATATTGTTATTTTGGTATTTGACGGTTCTGTTTGACTGTCAGATATGAAGTGCAGGCTGCAAATTTACTTTTTATCACCCAAAACAATTTGAATTTTTCAAAGTGCGCTGTAAGCACAGTATTTGACAGTTCTACTTGACTCTCAGATATTCAGATATGAAGTGCACCGCAGGACACATTTACTATTTAGCACAAAAAAAAAAAAAGTGTGATTTTTTTAAACCAACAATGTAACAGTAGTATTTAAGGGTTTTATTAGACAGCAAGAAATGCAGTACGCAAAAGTACTATTTAGCACCCAAAAAATTGCAGTATTTAAAAATGCCTAGATGTTGCCCACTGAGCTACCAGAACAGGATTAAAAGTAATGTGCCTGGCACACATGCAGTTGCAAGTGCACTGCACTCTCTGTGGCACTGGGCTCAGGGCAGGGTACAAAAATGTACTATAGCACCCACTAAAATAAATGCTGTAGTTTGCAGATTCAACACCAGAATTCTTTCCTAATTTGTCCCTAAGAGCTGCAGCATCCTCTCCCTACACTAATAAGAGCTCATGTGTGTGTGGCGCTATGCGACTCCAGAGATAGAGATAGATATATATATATAATGGGTCACATGCTGCACTGGCCAATTACAGCCATGCCATTAGTAGGCATGGCTGTGATGGCTAAGGGCAAACAAGTCAAACGCTTGTTGATTGGCTGCCCTACAGCCTTTCAATACACGCCATTAAATCACCAAACACCGAACTCCAACCCGAACATACACTGAAATGTCAGTGTACGGGTCCAGGGTAAAAAAAACGTAGCTTGACGCTGTCACGTATTCATCTGCACATAAAAATGTGATTAATGGCCGAGCAGCAATCAATCCACAGTAGGGTTTGTGCTGAGCAGCAGTCATGCAAATAGGAACCTGGTAACTGCCTTTGGATTGGTTACAACAAATCAGATCCACAGGCAGGGTATTTAGGCCCAGTTCTCCTTCTGTGCCCTATCGTGGTTTCCCTTGTGGTTGTCCGAGACCGCATTATTGATTCTGGCTATTTGACTTTGGCATTGTTATGGACTTCCCTGTTTTCTGGTATCCCTGGCTTTTCCTTATCGTTTTGTCTTTTTCTGTAGCCCTTGACCTCAGCTAGTTTTGACTATTCTTTGGTACGTTAATCCAGCCATTCTAAGGTCCGGTATACATTACCTATCAGTCATCTGTGTTACACAATTCTACGTGCTGGATCATACTGTAATCCTGACATTACGACATGGCCATAGATCCTGTAGAATTGTGTAAGCACATAGCTGCTTGTGAAAGGAAACTGGAGGATAATGATCACTGCATGGATCATTTGTCCAGGCCTTCAGTACGCTTCTTACCCGAACAGCGAACCAGCAGCCTGCGGCATCACCTCCATCTTATGTACCTCCACCTATAGTACACAAGGCACCTACTATCTCCTTAACTCCTTCCCTGCATTTTGATGGTAATATTCAAGAATGCCGGGGATTTCTGAACCAAATGGAGTATCATTTTGAGGCCTCACCGGGATCTTTTCCCATAGACAGAGCTAAAATTGGTTACATAATGAATCAGTTAAAAAGTAAAGCTTTAGCTTGGGCCAATCCATTATGGGAGAGTTATAGGAGTGTGGCACACAATTACCAGGAGTTCCTTATGGAATTCAAACTTGCGTTAGGCAGAGAGGATGACGCCTCTACTGCCCTGATGCATATCAGACAAGGGAACCGGTCTATCTCAGAATAGGTCATAGAATTTCATACCCTAGCTTCTGAGGTAGACTGGACTAATAGTGGGTTAATCTCTGCATTTAAAAAGGGACTATCTGAAACTATGCTAGATGAGATTGCCACCAAAGACTTACCCAAAAAGCTTAATGAATTTGTTACATTTGTCATGCAGATTGAAAATAGATTGAGAGGCTACTAGAAACAAGACCAGATGCATGACTGTGCCTTTAGCTCCCAGTTTCTCCAAACCTATTGTCCCTGAAATTCCTGTACAGTCCGAACCCATGCAGTTGGGGGTCACTAGACTGTCGGAGGCAGAAAGACAATATAGGAGAAGAGAAGGCCTATGCTTATACTGCGGTAGAAAGAGACATATGAGAAACAATTGTCACATACGTCAGGAAAACTACCGCACCTAAGCACCTTAAGGGGACAGGTCTTAGGTGTAATGGAGATGTCCTCTGGAAAGATATTATTGATATTATTGTGGCCTAATTGATATTATTGTGGCCTTTGACAAAAATAACTTTTCATGCAAAGTCCTGATGGATTCAGGTGCTGATGGAAACTTCATTGACGTTCAGTTTGTCATGGGTAATACTATACCTATCAAGGAGAGACTATAACCCCTAGCTGTTGAAGCTATTGATGGGAGACCACTCCACAACCATTGATAACACATGAAACCTTATACATTAATATTTCCATTGGTGCCTCATATACGGAAGAGATTACATTTCAGGTGGCTTAGCATGCATAACCCTCATATTGACTGGGCTAGTGGGGAAATATTAGAATGGGGTAAGGATTGTAATGAAAGGTGCATATTGCATGTCACCAAAAGAGTGGGCACTATTGAATTACCCACTAGTACACCTCAAAATCCAGAGATCCCTATACAATATCGAGACATTAAAGATGTATTCAGCAGGACTCAGTCTAATACTCTACCTCCTCACAGACCATATGACTGTTCCATTAACTTACTGCACGGCGCTATGCCACCTAAGGGAGCAGTCTTTGCTCTGTCACCTCAGGAGAGTAGAGTAATGGAGGAATATATTAAGGATTCATTGAATAAAGGCCATATACTAAAGTCATCCTCGCCTGCTGGTGCAAGATTCTTTTTTGCATCTAAAAAAAGATGGTGAGTTGTGCCCATGTATCGATTACAGGGCATTGAACAAAATCAATCTTATTGCAGAGTTATTTGACAGACTTGTGTGCTAATGTGTTTACTAAGCTTGACCTTAGAAGCAAATACAATTTAGTGAGCATTAAGGAAAATCATGAGTGGAAGACTGTATTTAATACCAGAAGTGGACACTACAGGGAGTGCAGAATTATTAGGCATGTTGTATTTTTGAGGATTAAATTTTATTATTGAACAACTATGTTCTCAATGAACCCCAAAAACTCAATATCAAAGCTGAATATTTTTGAAAGTTGTTTTTAGTTTGTTTTTAGTTTTAGCTATGTTAGGGGGATATATGTGTGTGCAGGTGACTATTACTGTGCATAATTATTAGGCAACTTAACAAAAAACAAATCTATACCCATTTCAATTATTTATTATTACCAGTGAAACCAATATAACATCTCAACATTCACAAATATACATTTATGACATTCAAAAACAAAACAAAAACAAATCAGTGACCAATATAGCCACCTTTCTTTGCAAGGACACTCAAAAGCCTGCCATCCATGGATTCTGTCAGTGTTTTGATCTGTTCACCATCAACATTGCGTGCAGCAGCAACCACAGCCTCCCAGACACTGTTCAGAGAGGTGTACTGTTTTCCCTCCTTGTAAATCTCACATTTGATGATGGACCACAGGTTCTCAATGGGGTTCAGATCAGGTGAACAAGGAGGCCATGTCATTAGATTTTCTTCTTTTATACCCTTTCTTGCCAGCCACGCTGTGGAGTACTTGGACGTGTGTGATGGAGCATTGTCCTGCATGAAAATCATGTTTTTCTTGAAGGATGCAGACTTCTTCATGTACCACTGCTTGAAGAAGGTGTCTTCCAGGAACTGGCAGTAGGACTGGGAGTTGAGCTTGACTCCATCCTCAACCCGAAAAGGCCCCACAAGCTCATCTTTGATGATACCAGCCCAAACCAGTACTCCACCTCCACCTTGCTGGCGTCTGAGTCGGACTGGAGCTCTCTGCCCTTTACCAATCCAGCCACGGGCCCATCCATCTGGCCCATCAATACTCACTCTCATTTCATCAGTCCATAAAACCTTAGAAAAATCAGTCTTGAGATATTTCTTGGCCCAGTCTTGACGTTTCAGCTTGTGTGTCTTGTTCAGTGGTGGTCATCTTTCAGCCTTTCTTACCTTGGCCATGTCTCTGAGTATTGCACACCTTGTGCTTTTGGGCACTCCAGTGATGTTGCAGCTCTGAAATATGGCCAAACTGGTGGCAAGTGGCATCGTGGCAGCTGCACGCTTGACTTTTCTCAGTTCATGGGCAGTTATTTTGCGCCTTGGTTTTTCCACACGCTTCTTGCGACCCTGTTGACTATTTTGAATGAAACGCTTGATTGTTCGATGATCACGCTTCAGAAGCTTTGCAATTTTAAGAGTGCTGCATCCCTCTGCAAGATATCTCACTATTTTTGACTTTTCTGAGCCTGTCAAGTCCTTCTTTTGACCCATTTTGCCAAAGGAAAGGAAGTTGCCTAATATTTATGCACACCTGATATAGGGTGTTGATGTCATTAGACCACACCCCTTCTCATTACAGAGATGCACATCAC